TCTCACAGGTAACTCCAACTACACAGTGAAGAACTCAGGAGAATTTGCGAACATAATCAGTAAAGAGACCATCCCAACAGACGAAGCAATGATATCCTTTGACGTCGAGTCGCTATTCACCAACGTCCCTATAGAAGAAACAGTACAGGCCGCGTTACATAGACTCAACAACGATCCGAGCCTACCAGACCGCACAGCGCTCACACCTACCCAGATTGCAGACCTTCTAAATTTCGTCCTGAGATCCACATACTTAAAGTACAACGGAGCACTCTACGAGCAACAAGAAGACGATTTCCGCCGTAATTGCCGATCTATACATGGAAGCCTTCAAAGAACAAACCTCAGCTACAGCCCCAGAACCACCGAGAATATGGAAGCGCTATGTAGATGACACATTCATCGTCATGAAACAGCACAACACGGATAACCTTCTGAGCCACCTCAACCAACAACACCCGTATATCCGCTTCACCATGGAAACTAAGAATAACAACAAGATCGCCTTCCTCGACAACCTCGTAACAAGGGAACCAGACGGCAAACTACTCACAAGTGTATACAGAAAACCCACACACACCGACCAGTACCTCGCCTATGATTCGCATCACCCACAATCTGTTAAACGCGGTACTGTCAAATGTTTACATGACCGATCTAAACGCATCATCACCAAGCCATCTGGAACAGCCCAGGAGAAAAAAACATCTATCCACAGCTCTCGTCGCCAACGGCTACCCTCCGTCCTTCCTACAGAAGGTGACCAAAACCAGGAATCCAACACCCAAGAGGGAAACAACAGAATTCAAGTATACCGCAGTACTGCCATACATCAAAGCGGTCTCAGAACCCCTCCGCCGCCAGCTACAGCAACAAGGAATACGCGCCGTCTTTAAATCCGACACCGCACTAACACCTCGGCTGGTCAGAACAAAAGACCCCGCTGACCCAAACAAGCAAGATGGCGTAGTCTACAAGATACCATGCACATGCGACAAAGTCTACATCGGGGAAACAGGACGACCCATGCAAGCGAGAATGAAAGAACACGACAGGGATATACGACTCGCACGCACTCAGAATTCTGCGGTTTCAGAACATGCCAACCGAACCGGACACAAGCCGCTGTGGAACGAAACCACGCTTATTGACCGAGAAAGCCATGAGTACACAAGGAAAGTGAAGGAGGCAATTCACATAAGACTCAACCCAAATTACATAAACAGGGACATCGGAGCCGAAATACCGGAAGTATGGATGTCTAAAATAAGGAAACATCTACACCAACGACGCACGAAAAACCAGCGAACGCCTGAGGAAACCATGGTACAATGAAGAAATG